AAAAATCTATTTTGTCTACTTTAAAAGTAAACTCTTGATATAATCACCCGATATAGTGAACAGTTTTGCTGGTCCTTGTTCTTCTTTACGTATATAGTGAACTCTTAATATAGTATATAATTTAGATTAATTTTGCGTGTTTCATTATACTGAGAGTCCATTGTATGATATTTAACGAATATAAATAATTTAAAATTATATATTAAAATTTATTTCATGTATTCATATATTCATTTATTTTACACGAAATTGGAATCCTTTTCTAATCAAATGGGACCCCAAAGATGATGGAAAAATATTGTGATAATTCTATAGTAGAGACCAGGGTTGTCTAACCTTTTATCCTAATGGGCTAAATTAGAAATTTAGGTACATTCAGCGGGCTACAAAGGTACTTTATATAAATATATGCTTTTAAAAAGTTCAAAATTTGAATATCAAATTTTAATAACAAATATATATAATTACAAAAAATATCGTATTATTGATAGTAAAAAAAAATAAATTATACTCACACAAAATAAAAATAAATTTAATGTGATTTTTGACATTGCCTTCTTTTTATAATATTGTCAATATCTGCTTTTACTGTACTAGTATTAATTCTAAGAATGTTAGTTAAATAGGAATCACTCAACTTATTTCTTTCAGCAGTTTTGATGTTTTTCATGCACGAAAAGAATTGTTTACAACAGTATGTTATGCATGTGGGGTAGTACAGTTTTTTCTAGCACCAATTATGTCATTACGATATCAAAGTGTATCCAGTGAAATGAGAATAATTTTTACGACATACTTTATCAAAACAAATGAAAATGTACCTAAAAAAATTAGGGTGCAGTAGGCCGCATAAAAACGTTAAGTGAGCTGCGGGTTGGACATCCCTGGTATAGACCATGGGTGGAGAACCTTTTTGAGTCTGTGTGTCATATAACAAGCATACTTAGCTTTAAAAATGTTTTATGCGTGCCAAAGTTTTAGATTTCGAATAACGATATTTAAAGAAATTAAAGGAATATGCTTTAATTAGAATAAATGTAAAAAAGCTGATTGAAAAAGACAGAGGATAAATCGAAATCATATGGTACTGTACCTGTACGTTATGTGCCAGATGATTTCTCCTTACGTGTCACTTTGGACACGCATGCATAGGTTCGCCACCCCTGATATAGACTATAGCAACTGTAGAATAATAACTTATTTAGTATAAAATAATAGAAAATTAAATCATATAAACATAAAATCCTAAATAAATTTACACTAATGATCATTTGTTTTCTTTTATGCCTTCTATTTACAGGATTATGGAGCAGTTTGGCTCGGGTGGTCTTGGCTCGGGTGGTCCTGTGCTAGAAAACAGTAAAACTATTCTATTAAAAATTTCAATTGAATTTTTAATATGTTAAGAGTTAAAATCTGTAGAGTTATTAAATATTTAAATGTTTCTTAAGTTTATTCAATAATGAGTTTAGGCATATTTCTCTAACAATGACTTTAGACAAACGGTATGATTTTTCATTTGGATAAAATTCTAATTTATAATTATTTATGACAAAATATTAACTTATAAAACTATAATTTAATGAGTGACACATACAGTAGAACTGTACTAGAATTTTAATACCCGAATTAATTTTTTAATGTTTAAACAATATGTAAATTTGGTTATAAAACAATTTCAACTCATTAAAATTTTATTAAATGTTAAGTACTATACAATAAACTCTTGTTATAATGATCACTCGATATAGTGAAAAATTTTGTTGATCCTTAATATTCTTTATGTGCAATGAATTCTTGATATTTCAAATGATTTAGCTCAGTCATTCGAGAACTGACTTATATGCATAGTCCACTGTAGCCTAATTCTCTTAGAAATGTTTTAAAGCCTTTAGTTGGCCACATTTTGATAATTAAGAAATTTATGGTAGAGGATACACAAAATTCTATTGTGGGCCATAAAATCTATTCTAAAAACTAATATATTATTATGATACTAAGAAAGATTAATAAAAGATACTTTAACAATATACTGTAAAACTTATATCAATTATGCATATTATATAGCCTATATAACTTTAATTAAAATATTTATCTTGAAAAATACTTATAAATTAATATAATAAATAGTTGAATAGTGTAAGTTCTGTGCATATATTTTATATAAAAAATAAAAAAAAAAAATATTAATTTTTTCGATTTTTAATAATGAAAATTAATTTTAATTAATTAACAATTGATGATAAGAGTAAATTTGAGATTCTCATTAATAGGAAGCAATGACAACTTTATAGGTTTATGTATTGAATTTTATAAAATTATTTAATAAAATTACTTTCTTATCTTTAATTACAGTTAACTGAATGGGATATTTTTAAGTTGCGTATGTAAAATTCTTGTTAGAAACCATCCAAATTGGCTTTCATTCAAAACAAAATAGCTAATATTCTTATTAATAGTAGACTTAATGTAGTTATTTTTTTACATATCGGCTTATACAATTAGTAATTTTATATTATGCTATATAGCCTACATTTTTAATTAGGTTATATCGTATAACCGAATTAAGAAATTAGTTAGCACTTTTATTTTTGCATTATTACTGTGGTCAATAACGATTATACCATTTATAGAAAACAAAATATTA